GTTACTTTCGCCCCCTTCCTCCCCTTCGCCCAGGCCAATTTTCACCTTTCAGCGCTGTCACACTTTAAACCCTGGTTCATATCTGTGCGGTCGTGCGTGCCATGATTTGCAGGGACACTGATGAGGCTGTGTTGATGAGGGGCCACTGGTGAGGCCGCGCTGATGAGGGGCCACTGGTGAGGCAGCGCTGATGAGGGTACGGATGAGACACCAATGGGGGCCGCGCTGATGAGGATCCAGCAAACTGTTATGAATGGTTTTCTTAGCTTGCTTACTGTTGTGATGCTGCGATTGGCCCACAGCTATCACATGGTAATTGGCACTCTGTGCCATGTGATTAGCTGTAACCAATCACAGCATTTCAACAGTAAGCAAGCTGTAATAAATGAGAAGCCATTCATGGCAGTTAAAACTATTGTTTACAACAGTGATCATACCTGCTTTAAGCAATAATAATGTAAAAAATTAAATCCCAGAATACCCCTCCCCACCCCCAGATTAGTACAATGTCACTATGGTAACACTGAACTACTCTGATGAAAGTATGTAAAAAAAAAAAAATTAATAAAAGTGCTAAAGAAAAAAAGTAAAAAAAAAAAAAGGTATACATTTTTCTTATATTTTTTTTTTTTTTACATACCAGTCAGTATCCCTGTATCGCTGTACTGCACTGCTGGCAGTATGTCCAAAAAAAAAAAAAAAAAAATCTCACCATGCCTCTTACTAAATATCTTGGATTGTCTAATTTCAAAAAAGGGATATAAGGGGGGGTATTTGTACTGTCCAAGCATTTCTGACCCTCAAAAAATTAGATAGACTATCAGTACATCAGGACTAATCGATTTTCAAATAAATATATACCATAGTTTGTGAACTCTCTAACTTTCACACAGACAAAAATTATATACACTTATTTGGGTTATTTTTACCAAAGAAATAGAGCAGAATAAAGTTTGGCCTAAATTTATGAAGATTGTTTGTTTTATTTTAAAACAGAAACTAAGAAAAACATATTTTTTTTAATTTTTGGTATTTTTTCATAATATTTTTTATTAAATATAAAAAAATAAAAAAAAAACAGTGGTGATCAAATGCCACCAAAAGAAAGCTCTAGCTGTGTGAAAAAATGATAATTTAATTTGTGTGAAGTACTGTATGATCGCGCAATTGCCAATAAAAGTAGCACAGTGTTGAATAGCAAAATATTTTCTGGTCATGAAGGAGAAAAGGCCTTCCGGAGGTCAAGTGGTTAAAAGTCCTTCTTGCTGCATCTTTTGTGAACTGTTGTAAATACGTAGCAAAAAACCTCCCTCACCTTTCATTGGTGGAAGCGCACCAAAAACACACCGCAAATTGTAAAAAAAACATTTTACACCCTTAGGAAGTACAGTTATGTCCTCAGGTTAAAGTGTCTATACCGGGATCATGGCTGCAGCTGTGGACCCGATACCAAAATTTTCAGCTCATGATGGGCTTTAATGCAGAAGTGAACGGAGTGGCTCTACAGCCACTCAATCACTTCTACAGGGAGGGGAATAGAGCCCCCCACACTGTCTTTAGCGGGCTCTCCTGTACAATCGGGGAGCCTGGAATTGCTACCACTTGGTGCCCTGATTAACTTAGTGGGGAGGAAGGTAGATCTGTACCCCCCTCCCTTCTGTGGTGTAAGAAATTGGAAGCGATGAGGATTTCTTCACTTCCAATTACAGTCTGATGTTCACAAGCAGTTACCAGCTTGTAAAGCATCTGATCAAACCAATTCCGGTTTGATCAGATGCTCTTGAAAGAAGGAGAGATCTGGGGTCTAATAGACCCTCAGATCTCTCAGTAAACAAGACCTGTCACTACCCATGCTATCACTGGGTACATAGTTTGTTCAGTCCTTGTGATAGTAATAAAGTTGATCAAAAAAATTAAAGAGACAGTGTAAAAACAAAGTTGAAAATAAACTGAACAATACGACCAAAAAAAAAAAAAAATTTAAAGTGCCCCCATTCCCCTGTGGTCATGTACACATATGTAAACGGCGATTGCACAACACATGTGAGGTATTGCCACAAATGTCAGAGCAAGAGCAATAATTCTATCACCAGAGCTCCGGTGTAACTCCAAACTGGTAACCAGTAAAGACATCCATGGGTGTCATTCCAGAACGCGCCATCTGTGAACGCTGTGCCCTGATTACAGCCGATCATGGGATATGGTAAACGGCCAATTATGGCAGCCTTTTACCACATGAGCAGCTGTGTCCAATGACACAGCAGATCACCGGGTAAACACAGTTGCCAGTTATCGGCTGCACTTTCCTCACGCTGTCAGTGTGCAGAAAGTTGCTGGTTATCAGCAGTACTGTCAGAGAAGTGATTGGCACTGATGATCAGTGCCCAGCAGTGCCGCCCACCTGTGCCACCCAGCAGTGCAACCCACTTGTACCCATCAGTGCCACCTATCCGTGCCACCTCACCAATGCTGCCTATCAGCGCAGCCTCATCAATGCACATCAGTGGAGAAAAATTACCTGTTTGCAAAATTTTATAATAGAAACAAAGAAAAACTCTTCAAATTTTTTGCTTTTTTTGTTTATAGCGCAAAAAATAAAACCCCCAGCGGCAATTAAATACCACCAAAAGAAATCTCTATTTGTGTGAAAAAAATGATAAAAATTTCATATGGGTACAGTGCTGCATGACCGCACAATTGTCATTCATGGTGCGACAGCACTGAAAGCTAAAAATTGGCCTGGGCAGGAAGAGGGTATAAGTGCCCGGTAGGCAAGTAGCTAAAGTGGATTTTTCCTAATAAAAAAATTGTGTTTTAAAAATGGCTTTGCAAATATTGTGCAATAAGAAAAATTTGTAACCACCATTTTATTCTCCAATGTCTCTGCTTTCAAAAAAAACAGAGAATGCTTAGGGGTTCTGAGTATTTTTCCAGGAAAAAAAGATGCTGATTTTAACATGTGAGAAGTGTTAGGCCTGATGTACACATGAACTCACCTAGTCAAACTCTCCTGGCAGCAGAAAAATGCTAAACGTGGCAAAAAATGCGTGTAAATGCAGTACCGCGTTTAGCGCTTGGACATTTATTAATTTGATTGGCAAAAGTATTTTCCATTGACATGGATAAACGCCCAAGTGGTAAACGTGGCTAATATTTAGTTATGTTTACCTGCATTTTTGACGCGTTTAGCTGTTTTTTGCCAAAATGTTCCTCTCCTGAATGAGATTATTCTGTGCTCAGAAGAGGAACGTTTAACTGTCCCTAAACTCTGGTAAAAGCCAATGTGTACATGGACACATAGGCTTTAACTGAGTTGAGTTCAAAGGTTTTAGCAAAAAAATGCCAAAAGCTCCTAAACTCACGTTTAGGAGCACCATTGTACATGAGGCCTTAGAATTGAAAGTGATTAACCGTTTTTCCTGCCGCCCTATAGCAGATATACTTCTACAGGGCAGCAGGGGTGTGCAAAATCATATATATATATATATATATATATATATATATATATACACACACACACACATGATTTTGCATTTCCAGGTAGTGGTGCACTCTACTTGACCCACTATTCGTGGCCTCGGCTGTCAATCACCGGGTCTCAGATGGTGATTACTCAGCGGCACACAGTGATAGCCGAGCTTTGCCATTAGTACAGTGTCAGTGCGTTTTTTTAGCACCGATCACTGTATTGGTGTCACGGGGAATGTCAGTGACACCAAGTCAGTTCCTGCCCACGTCAGAATGCCCACCACAGTCCCGCTATAAGTAGCTGATAGCCGCCAATACTAGTATATGTAAAAAAAAACAAAAAACAGAATATATATATATATATATATATATATATATATATATATATATATATACACACACACACACACACACATACACATATATACACACACACACCGCCATTTGTAAACGCTGTAACTTTCATGTAAACCAATTCATTTACACATATTGGGATTTTTTTTTAGCGAAGACATGTAGCACAATATATTTTGCTCTAAATTTATGACAAAATTTGATTTTTTTAATTTTACTGGACATGTTTAATAGCAAAAAGTAAAAAAATATTGTTTATATTTCTCAAAATTGTCGCTTTTATTTTTTTATAGTGCAAAAAAAAAAAAAAAAAAGCACAGGCGATCAATACCACCAAAAGAAAGCTCAATTTATGGAGGAAAAAAAAAAAGGGGCACAAATTTAATTTGGGTGCAGCGTTGCATGACCGCGTAATTGTCATTTAAAGTAACGTGGGACCGGAACGCAAAAAAATGGCCTGGTCAGGAAGGGGGGTAAATCCTCTCGAGAGCAAGTGGTAAATACTTTTTTTAGTCACATGTTTATATCTTTTCCCAGCTGATCAGGGATGAAAACACATGGAAAAATGCATCATGTGTTGTGCCAAATTTTAGCAAAACCACAAAATTTTAAAGCCACAAATGGCATCACATTTTACCAGTTGTGAATGGGACCTAAGGGGGGGGGGGTGCTAAAAACGCAGCTCAGTCGCACTTCTAAACTTATAAGACACAGGGCCTTTAGATTGTAAGCTCCATGGGTCCTCCTGTTTCTTCTGTATTGAACTGTATTGTAATTGTACTGTCCCCCTGTATATTGTAAAGCGCTGCACAAACTGTTAGCGCTATATAAATCCTGTACAATAATAATTGTGTAGTGTATGGATACATCTTGGAGAATAGGGATAGCATTTAGTGTCCCTTTAAATAAAGCCTTACCTTGGCCATCGGGAGGGTGACATGGACGGACACAATCCTCCAACTATTAATACCCTGTGCTATGTGTGATCATCCCTCCTAGATCAGAGCTCCCCTCACCCCCCATACACAGTACTAGAGGACGGATTACAGTCACATCTACATGGGGCGGAGTACAAGGCACGGCCAGCTGGGAGAGCACACCGATCACCCCCGACTCCGCTCTGTGCAAATACAAATTACAAACAAAACAAAAAGAGTAAACAGATCAGCCGAACTCACCCACTTCCGATAGCTGGAAACAGCAAAGCTTTGCGGCAGCCGTAAAGGAAGCGAGGGCCGACCCGAGAGGGCTCACGTGACCGAGAACAGGCCCACGTGATAGCCAAACTTGTCTCATCTCTGAGGCATGTCTGTCAGACGGCGATGGGAGGGTACGTCACCCAGAGGGGGGCGGGGGATCCCCGCTGGATTCCTGGAGGGTGTCCCTGAAATGCCTATACTGAGTATAATAATAATATTCAATATAGTAATACTACAAATAATAGTAATATTGAAATAAAATAATAATACTGAATATAAAAACACTGCATAATAATACTGGACACAATAACACTGGATATAAAAACACTGCATAATAATACTGGATACAATAATACTGGATATAAAAACACTGCATAATAATACTGGATACAATAATACTGGATATAAAAACACTGCATAATAATACTGGATACAATAATACTGGATATAAAAACACTGCATAATAATACTGGATACAATAATACTGGATATAAAAACACTGCATAATAATACTGGATACAATAATACTGGATATAAAAACACTGCATAATAATACTGGATACAATAATACTGGATATAAAAACACTGCATAATAATACTGGACACAATAATACTGGATATAAAAACACTGCATAATAATACTGGATACAATAATACTGGATACAATAATACTGGATATAAAAACACTGCATAATAATACTGAATATAAAAACTCTGCATAATCTGAATATAAAAAAATAATAATACTGAATATAAAAACACTGAATAATAATATTGAATATAAAAACACTGCATAATAATACTGGATACAATAATATTGGATATAAAAAACACTGCATAATAATACTGAATATAAAAACTCTGCATAATCTGAATATAAAAAAATAATAATACTGAATATAAAAACACTGAATAATAATATTGAATATAAAAACACTGCATAATAATACTGGATACAATAATACTGGATATAAAAACACTGTATAATAATACTGAATATAAAACATAATAATACTGAATATAAAAACACTGTATAATAATACTGAATATAAAACATAATAATACTGAATATAAAAACACTGTATAATAATACTGAATATAAAAAAATAATAATACTGAATATAAAAACACTGCATAATAATATTGAATATAAAAACACTGCATAATAATACTGACTATAAAAACACTGCATAATAATACTGGATACAATAATACTGAATATAAAAACACTGCATAATAATACTGGATAGAATAATACTGAATATAAAAACACTGCATAATAATACTGAATATAAAAACACTGCATAATAATACTGGATAGAATAATACTGAATCTAAAAACACTGCATAATAATACTGGATAGAATAATACTGAATCTAAAAACACTGCATAATAATACTGGATAGAATAATACTGAATATAAAAACACTGCATAATAATACTGGATATAAAAACACTGCATAATTATTATTATTATTATACAGTATTTATAAAGCGCCAATGGTTCGCTCAGCGCTGTACATTACAAAGGGGGACAGAACATGTGACAGAACAATACCAATACAATGCAAAACATGAGGGGATTGAGGGCCCTGCTCCTTGGAGCTTACAATCTAGGAGGGAGGGGATAGTGGTACAGGAGGAGATAGCTGTGGGGGATGGAGTGGTAGGCAGAGTGGAGGAGGTTGGCAGGTTAGCAGGGGGTGGGGTAGGCTTCCCTGAAGAGATGGGTTTTCAGGGTGCGCCTAAAGGAGAGGAGAGTAGGTGATAATCTGATGGGTTGGGGCAGGGAGTTCCAGAGGATGGGTGACACCCTGGAGAAGTTATGGAGGCGGGCATGGGAGGAGAAGACCAGATAACTAGAGAGAAGGAGGTCTTGTGAGGAGCGGAGTGTGCCTGCTGGGCGGTACTTGGATATTAGGTCAGAGATGTAGTTCGGGCAGTATGGTGGACAGCTTTGTACGTCAGTGTTAGGATTTTGAATTTGATCCGTTGCGCAATCGGAAGACAGTGGAGGGATTGGCAGAGGGGGGTGACGGAGATGGAGCGGTTGGAAAGGTGAATGAGTCTGGCAGCCGTATTCAGGATCGACTGAAGCGGGGATAGCCAGCGGCGAGGCAGGCCAGTGAGGAGGGAGTTACAGTAGTTGAGTCGTGATATGATGAGGGAGTGGATGAGCTGTTTAGTAGTTTCTGGGGTTAGGAACGTGCGGATTTTGGCGATGTTGCGGAGGTGGAGTCTGCACGAGCTTGTTAAAGATTGGACTTGGGGCTGGAAGGATAGGTTGGAGTCCAGAATGACACCAAGTACTCTGGCCTGCGGGGCGGGTTTGATGGTGGCATTGTTGGATGTGATGGAGAAGTCAGTGGGGGGTGGTGTCCGGGCTGGGGAGAAGAAACTCGGTTTTGGAGAGGTTCAGTTTAAGGAAGTGGAGCAACATCCAGTCTGATATGTCGCTCAGTAGGTTTGTGATTCGGGCGGAGACTGAGGGGGTGAGGTGGGGGGTTGAGAGATAGATTTGTGTGTCGTTGGCATAGAGGTGGTAGTTGAAGCCGTGAGAGTGTATGAGTTGGCCAAGGGAGGAGGTGTAGATGGAGAAGAGAAGGGGCCCGAGGACAGAGCCTTGAGGGACCCCAACAGAGAGGGGGAGTGAGGGGGAGGTGGTAGCATTATAGGTAACGCTGAAAGAGCGTTGTGACAGGTAGGATGAGAGCCAGGAGAGAGCAGAATCTCTGAGGCCGAGGGAGTGTAGTTTTTTGAGGAGTAGGGGGTGGTCGACTGTGTCGAAGGCCGCAGAGAGGTCAAGGAGTAGGAGCACTGAATAGTGTCCATTAGCTTTGGCGGTTAGCAGGTCGTTGGAGAGTTTGAGTAAGACAGTTTCGGTGGAGTGTAGGGGACGGAAGCCGGACTGTAGGGGATCGAGGAGGTTGTTGTCGTTGAGGTGAGAGCTTAGGCGGGTGTAGACTAGGTGCTCAAGGAGTTTAGATGTAAATGGGAGCAGGGAGATGGGTCTGAGGTTGTTCGGGTCATTGGGGTCCAGGGAGGGCTTTTTAAGTATGGGGGTGATGTGTGCATGTTTCAGAGGGGAGGGGAAAGTGCTGGAGGAGAGGGAAAGATTAAAGATGTGGGTGAGGGAGCATAGGATGGAGGGGGAGGGAGGTCATAGGAGTTGTGAGAGGATAGGGTCGAGGGGGCAGGTGGTGAGGCGGGCATCAGAGAGGATCTTGAAAACTTCCTCGATGGTAGTAAGGTCAAAGGTGTGGAGTGTTGGGGGGGCTTCAGTATGAGGAATGTAGGGTGGGGTGGAAGTGGAGGTCAGAGCAGTGGTGGATAATAATAATAATAATAATAATACTGGATAGAATAATACTGAATATAAAAACACTGCATAATAATACTAGATATAAAAACACTGCATAATAATACTGGATAAAACAATACTGAATATAAAAACACTGCATAATAATACTGAATATAAAAACACTGCATAATAATACTGAATAGAATAATACTGAATATAAAAACACTGCATAATAATACTGGATAAAACAATACTGAATATAAAAACACTGCATAATAATACTGGATAAAACAATACTGAATATAAAAACACTGCATAATAATACTGAATATAAAAACACTGCATAATAATACTGAATATAAAAACACTGCATAATAATACTGGATATAAAAACACTGCATAATAATACTGGATAAAACAATACTGAATATAAAAACACTGCATAATAATACTGAATATAAAAACACTGCATAATAATACTGGATATAAAAAGGCTGTGTTTATGCTGGTGTTGATAGTTTTGTCCTTGTAACCTTTCTTATGAAAGGTGTCTGCTAGTGTCCTGAGATGTTTATCTCTGTCTCTTGGGTCAGAACATATTCGGTGGTATCTAATGGCCTGACTGTGTATGATGGCACGTTTCATGTGTTGGGGGTGGAAGCTAGAACTGTGGAGGTAGTTGCATCTGTCAGTGGGTTTCCTGTATATTGAGGTGTGAAGCTTATCATCCCTGATGTATACTGTAGTGTCTAGGAAATTGACCAGTGTGTTTGAGTATTCCATTTTTAGTTTGATTGATGGGTGAAAAGTGTTGATCAATGAGTAAAATTGTTTTAGGTTTTCTTCACCTTCTGTCCATATGATGAAAATATCATCAATATAGCGATAGTATCTGTATGGTTTTTGTTCCATGCTGTTCAGGAATTTTTCCTCCTCCAGGTCAGCCATAAATAAATTGGCATATTGGGGTGCCATTTTACTTCCCATCGCAGTACCTATACATTGAAGATAGATGTCTTTATTGAAGGCAAAGTAGTTGTGTGTAAGTATGAATTCAATGAGCTGTGTAACATCCTCAGCAGTGTATTTGTGGTTTGGTGAGGATGATAAGGATCTGTGACGTGCAACTAATCCATCCTTGTGAGGGATATTACTATACAGGGATACTACATCCATAGTCACTAGAAGTGTATTAGATGGTAATTGCTGTATGTTGTTGATCTTGTTCAGAATGTCAGTTGTGTCTTGCAGGAAGCTAGCAGTATTCTTGACTAATGGTTTTAAATTTTTTTCTACAAAGCCTGAGATTTGTTCGGTGAGTGTATTCATACCTATTATGATGGGTCTGCCTGGATTTCCTGGCTTGTGGATTTTGGGCAGCATGTAGAAGTCCCCGATTTCTGGATGATCCGGAATTGCATTTATAAGTTCTGAATGTAGGTGGGCTGGAAGTGTTTTAATGAGAGTCCAAAAATGAAGCAGCTCAAAAAAGCATAGATATGAACATGACCATGTTAAATGGACTGTAATGCATTTCTGCAAAAAGCACTAAAAAACGTATTGGTGTGAATGAACGAGCTGATGTTAGAAGCTGATTGGCTACCATGCGCAGCTGCACCTGATTTTGCACTCTCCAGTTTTAGTAAATCAATCCCATAGTATAGCTATAATATACAGTATGTACAGTGCCTTGAAAAAGTATTCATATCCCTTGAAATTTTCCACATTTTGTCATGTTACAATCAAAAATGTAAATGTCTTTTATTGGGATTTTATGTGGTAGACCAACACAAAGTGGCACATAATGATGAAGTGGAAGGAAAATGATCAATGATTTTCAAAATGTTTCACG